GCAGAGTGTTTATATGCTTAGAACTCTGGTTTTGGAAAAGAAACATCTATTTGCGCTTGGATTAGTCTGATGAATGGAATCATATAATCTCCCTAATGGAAACTCTTTGAATTGTGATGAAAATGAATTCCAAGATGCTCTAACTTCGTTCACAGATCCTGGATGCTGCTCTCTCTGTCTACCTCATGTGGGTACATGCTTGATCTCCATCATGGGTGTCAACCATGCTGACAACATCCTTGAGGTTATTAAAATATGATCAGCCTTTCCGAATTCACAACCTTTACTCTGCTCCCCCCTACAATGCTCCTCTCTGGACACTTTCATAGCTCATATGGCTTCACTTATGAGTTGTGATAATTAGTGTTGTCAACTTGAGAGAATCTGGAATCACCCAGGAGACCAAACTCCAGGTACACCTGTGGGGGACCATTTAGCCTCTGGGCATGCCTATGAGGGATTACACTGCTTAGGTTAACTGAGAAGGGTTTCACACTAGAAGTAAGCAGAACCATTCCCTAAGCTTGAGTCCTGGACTGAATAGAAAAGAGAAAGCTGGCTGAAAACAGGTATCCCTTTCTCTCTGCTTCTTGCTGTTGGTGCAACATGACTGGTTGCCCCTAGCTCCTCCTGCTATGACACCCCCTGCAGCGATGTGAACTGAGCTGTGAGCTGTGAACCTATGTAAACCCTTCCTTGCTGTGTTTTTGTCAGGGTTTATTAAAGGAAAGGAAATGAGGGCATGTACTTTTCTTCTCAGCCTTGTTGCCATGAACCTCCACCATGAATTTCTGTTCTCACAGTGAGAAGCTGGTGCTTTTCACTGTACTCCATGGTCAGAATTTGGGGCTGTTTTCTGTGTCATCCCCATACAAGACTCAATTCTTTGAAATGATTGGGACAGTAAGTCCTCATTCACCATTGAAAACTGAGCACGAGACAGGCAGTGTAAGTGTCCCTTGGGTGAATGGTGTCTCTGTGCTTACGTCCCAGGCTTTCTATTAAATACTAACATCAATATTAATACTAATTTAATATTCTATTAGATGAATGTTTGTACATGAGTCACCCTGGGAACACTGTCAGTTCCCCTCAGCCCCCATTTACAACTAGAGGCTCCTTCCTTCTCATTCTTATGATGGTTTTATTTTCATGGAAGCCAACTTTCTTGGTATTTCACTCGTTAAATACATTTTATGTGGAAATTCAAATCAAGATATATAATGTATGCATCCCCCCTGGACAGCTCCCCTATATCCCTGCTCCATCAACACCCCCCAAAGGCAACCTTGGTTATAATTTCTACCAGTATCTTCCTAAAAATATCTCTTTGTACGTATATGGTGTGTGTGTGTGTGTGTGTGTGTGTGTGTGTGTGTGTGTGCTGTGAGAGCACACTCTTGCCATGGACCACACTTTTGGATGTTGGAGGACAACCTTTGTTGTTAGTTGATTTTCATCTTGTTTTTGAGGCAGGATCTCTCTTGTTGTCACTGCAATGTGTACTCCAGTCTAGCTGGTCTAGAAACTTCTAGGGGGTTTCCTAGAAGTTTCCTACTTCCACCTTCTACGTTGTGTTAACTGGAATTAGAGGCATCACCACAGTGTCCAGGTTGTACACAGGCTCTAGGATCCAAATTTAGGTTTTCTGGTGTTCTTGACAAGTTCTTATTTTTTTAACCTGTTGAGTTGTTTTCCTGACCCTTTAGCATGATTCTCAACTCCCTAACAGGGACAATATGCTTATTTTGTCAAGATACATACATAGGCCCAACAATATAACTTTGAAATGTATTTATGCTGTTATACACATTGTTTTTTTATTTATGCATTCTACAGTTGAAGAGCGTTTGAATTGTATCCGGTTAATGGCTCCTGGACACTGCTCTGGGCATCAGTGTATACATTTTTTAATTGCTGTGGGCACTTTTCTCTATAAGCTCAGACAGGCATGAGCACAAGCTATTAGCTACTACTGCCCAGTGTTCTCAGATGAGAGCTGTCTTCTCTCAGGCCTCCCCTGTAGCCTTATCAGCCCTCCCTATGCTCACTCACTTCATCTCAACCATTCTGCTGATTGATGCCTGGAATATTTACCTTTGGGGTTTGTCCTGACTGGCAAATAGTGATGTGGAGTACCTTTTATTGCTTATGGGTCATCCAGATAGCTAAGGTGTGTGTATATATGGGAATCTCCCCATGTAGGTTAATCATTAAAGAGAAAGTGTTGCCTACCTTTTACATCTAGCTTTTAGGGCAGTGGTTCTCAACTCGTGGGTCAGGATCCTCCACACACAACAAAAGACCACCAGAAAACACAGATATTTACATTACAGTTCATAACGGTATCAAAATTACAGTTATGCTATGGAATAGCAGTGAAAATAATTTTATTGTTGGGGTCACCACAACATGAAGAACTGTATTAAAGGGTCGTGACTTTGGGAAGGTTGAGAACCATTGTTTTAGAGCTTGACTTTGCGTTATTTAACTAATCCATGTGTATAATCTATGTTCTCCCAGTATAGAATTTTCTTTTTGATTTTCCTTGTACTTGTGTTACTTGGGGAGACAGATGCTCTGACTTAAATGACACCTAGTAAGTCAACCTTTTAGATTCTGCTGTTTAAGGCTTCTCTTTCACAGAGGGATTTTTTTCTAGTGTTTTAAAGATCATAGCGGGAAGATGTTAAATGTTCTTAGCACATTCTAAAATGCCTCTAGGGGTTAATATGGTTGAATTGGAAGGTAAGTCTATCTTTCAACCTCTTTTTCAGAGCCTAACCCATCTCGCCAGGTCTGGCTCAAATAACTCCTCCTTCAAGAAATGGCAGTTACCCAGCTTCCCTCCCAGTTCATCCATGGAGAATGCCACTGAGTTAGTTACACACATTGGTGGCCCCTTAGAAAAACTCTAAGCATATTCCCCCACCTCGGGAATATGCATGCAACTCAGGTACAGACAAACCAGAAACGACACCAGACAGACATTCATTCACCAGATATATTTGAACTCTAAGCTCTTTGAGCTGTACACGTGCACAAATGATTCGGTTGGTGGAAACCTTCCCCCTCCACTTAAAATGTTTTAAACTTAAAAGAGCGCTAAGGAGGTTTGCATAATGTGCGTCATGGAAGTGTTGAGGCCATAGATCATGACTTTCGCAGTGCTGGGAGGTCCCTCGGCTTTCCCGTTTCTCCTGGGGAAAGCTCCCCCTCCCCTCTCCCCATGCTCAACCTAGCAGGAGAATCTGCAGCAGGTTAACATCTACACATGGCAATACAGTTTACCAAGACCTGGGTCATCTATAACAACTTTCAATAAACTGGAAACTTCTGCTACCACTATTTGGAAACACAAATTATTTCCAAGGCTTTTACTCATTTAGATTCCCCCCTCGACACCCCCAGTTCTTGCATCCTGAAAATGAATGTGGATTAGAAAGCCAGCCCCAGGCAGTTAGTTGACTTATAATCAATCCGTCCGCACAGCTGAGTTCAATGTTTCAGCCACTAGTGGGCACCATCTCTCCACTATTTGTAGTCTTTCCTTGGTCAATGAAAAACCCAACCCTCCACAACAAAGGAAAGTCAGAGCATTTGCTTGTAGTACACCCCTTAGGTCTGATTTTGAAGAGGAGACTTATTTTCCGCATTGAAACTCGGGATTCCACAAGCAACACTGTCCTCGGTTTCAAACGTACTGTTCTGTGGCCAGTACTATATTGCTATATTCACAGTAGAACGGACTTTAATTTTCTGAGAGATCAGTCTAGGTTTGAAGTTTCTGTTGAAACAAACATACACCTTAGTCAAAAAACCACAATAATCCCTCCATCGGGTGGCTGTGTTAGTGATCTTGTGTGTTTTTCTGAGGCTTAGGTCATGAAAGGACTAGCCCATTTTGTGGTAAATTGTATTTGCATCCAAAATTACTTGCTAATGAACAGGTATTGATGAGGCTTGACACATGGAGCAGAAAGTATGGTTCTGTAGGTGTATCTTCTGTAATGCACTTTGGGCTAGAGAAATACAAAAGTCACACATAACAAAAACAAAGACCTTTTGAGCACAGGGGCACTGGATGAGTAGAACTGCAATCTGTTTACCCATCATCCTTTTTGTGCTCTGAGATGCTCAGCTGTGTCTACGTGCTGGGGTTTAACATCATCCAAGTTGTTTATAACTGACACTTGGATCTTTGTTTAAAAACAGGTGGTCTTGACAGCAAAGAGGTTGCTAGCTGGTTATATATTGACACCAGACATTGCTGTGCCCCTTTTCAACTCAGCATTAACCGCAAGAGCATGGGATAGCATTGGATTACCTACATTAGAATCAGAGTGCCTTTAGAAGCAACACAGGTATGATGCCATTAAGCAGCCAATGGTTGAACAATCACTAAATAAAAAACACCCAGATTTTCAACGCACAGCTCAAACATCTGTACAAATATACAAAGGGGTGGGGGACAATCATTCAGACATCATGAGACTTTTATAATAAATAGATTTGTCTGAAATCGGTCTCTGTCACCTGGACAAGCCTCCCCAGTGACATTATGTGTAGTGGTGTTCAGAATCTACTGAGGGATATCTTTGGGGCCAAGCTCAATTTTGCCTCCAGGAATTTGGACAGAGCTATATGATGTATTGATTCAAACTGAAAATGATTCCCAGACTTGTTGAGCTGGATGGTGCTAGGGACACCCCTTCTATACAGGACACGGCTGGGATACTGTGAAGTGGGGTGTACCCTCAAATCATCAAAATAAATGCTGGTGATCGTGCAATGTCCTGGGAATGTTGGGATGCAGAGGACTGGGTGAGACCAGTTAGGGGGATCCCATGCAGTCAAAATCAAGTTTACTTATGGTCCTATATAAGTGGCCAGGAAAAAATGCAACAACACACACACACACACACACACACACACACACACAGCTGGAGCATCGCACAAACAACATAAATGCCATTTGCTACTGATGTCAATGACTTGGATCAACATGAGAGAACAGAGATATAGCCTGTCCTGATTGTTTAATAAGAAAATACTACCTTTTTTCTCTAGAACTTTCTAAATAATGGATTATAGTTAATGGGTATGAGTTGATTGGGAGACATGTCACCTTTTCCTAGCCCTTTTGTCCAAGAGGCTTAATTACAAGGAAGAGATTGCAAACAACCAAACACCCAGGGACTTAAAGGCAATTAATGTTTTGGACAAACCACAAGGGGGGAAGCATAATAAGAGGAGATGCATATTATCCTGGTCACGCTCAGTTGGACATAGAGGGTGGCAGGCCGGGGCGCCGGGTCTGGATGATTTTTGGCTTTGGGGAAGTCTTTGGATCCTCTTCTTCCTCCATGTCGCTGTCACACACGTGCACGACGACACTTGGTGTGGACTCAGTCCCCGCATGCAGTTCATACTTCTCTCCTGAAAAGCAAGACATCAGATGAGGAAGAGGGAAGGATTCTTTTTGGTTAGTTGCTCAGGTTTGTTGTGTTTTAGTTTTGCTGTTGTTGTTTTCCTTTGTTTGGTGTGTTTTGTTGTTGTTTTGAAGACAGGGTCTCTCTATATAGCCCTAGTAGCTGTCCTGGAACTCACTCTGTAGACCAGGTTGGCCTCCAGTTCACAGAGATCAGCCTGCCTTCGCCTCCTAAGTACTGGGATTAAAGACATGCACCATCATACCTAGCTAAGGAAAGGATTCTTAACAGCTGTCTTGGCAAGGTTTACAAAGAAGGAACATTTTTAGGTGTGTTGGAAAACCTGTGATCTGGCAGTGGATGGAAAGAGGCCTATTAGTCATTGTGATCTGGCTACCATCTATCAAATATCCAACTGCATCTGTCCACTATCAACTATCCAACTCCAAATAAGCCCACTTAACCTTTCTTGGTCACAGCAAGCTCGACTGTAAATTTCAAAATGTTACTTCCATTCTGTTGAAATGTGAAGACTAAATGTGCCTGGAAATACAGTAGTTTGGCTCTTCAATGCCCTGCAAAGGCTTGGCTTGCAGCACTGTTGGTGATGGTGTGAGTCAAAGTCTCATAGGAGGACTCGATAGGACCCCTGGTCTCTCCTGTCTCCATTTTTGCTTGCTGACCTCCATGAGATGAGTGAGCCTTCTCCATCACGACTCCCTCCTTAGGAACTGTGTTCCACAGGGCCAAGGGAGCATGGACCAGATGCTCTGAAACCATAAACTAAAGTCAACTTCACTGGCTGACTAGTTCAGGAGCTTTGTCACGGTGATGGGAAGCTGAGTAACACAGCCAGTTAGTCATACCTGTTCCTGTTTGATCCCTGGTAGTGCTGCTGGTAGCTGAGTAAGCTTCAGTCAAATGCTTTTTGAATAAGCCAGTCTTTAAATTTTCCTCCAGGCATATACTATTGACAACCACAACTGCTCTGAGATATCATAAGAGTGGAACATTGTTTGTCTGGAATCTTCAGTGGCTAGTAAATAACTGGCAGATCACCATTAAGACCCTAATTTCAAGAGTCTCATTCTGTGTGTGTGAGTTGGAGGTACATGGGCATACAGTTGTATATGTGTGCATGAACATGTGAAGCCATAGAAGAGCCAGTGTTGTTCTTTGGTTGTTGTTGCTGTGGCTGTGTTGAAATGGGATCTCTCACTGGCGTGGGGCTCACTGTGCAGGCTCCCTTGGAGGGCCAGCAAGCCCTAGACCCTGCAGTACCTTGTTTGTAAATGGCCAGCCTGTTGGATGTGGATTCTGAGGGTTGAACTTGGGTCCTCATGCTTACTTAGTGCTTGTAGGCACCTTAGCAACTGAGCCATCTTTCAGCCCCGTTTTACAATTAGATCACTCCCAGGAATCTGTCTGTCTTTGCTTTACCTCTGTAGGTATTTCCTGAGCATCCCTCAGGTTCTTCCCCATTCTGGCTACTGAGTGCTGTTAAACAATATCTGTGCCTTAACAGCATAATCCAGTAGAAGCAACAAGACCTCTGGGTACACAAGCAAGAAAAGGTGGGTCTATGCTTTTAATTTCACAACTGTTAATATCTCCATCTATCCCTGAAACCTCACCCATCATTCCCACTCTTCACGACTCAACAGAAAAAAGACATCTGAAAACAGTGTGTTCTAGTTCTAGACTGCCTCTTGGTAACTGGCTCCCCAAGTCTCACTAGATCAAGTCCAGATGTCCTTGAATTGGTCCCGAGGACGCTATGCCATCACTCACCAGCCTTTCCCTGTAAGTTGACCCTTTTTGCTTTGCCAGAGTGACTTATCCGCTACCTCCCAATCATGGCCACATTCTTCCACCACCCTATTAGCTGCTATTACTTGGCATTGTCTCACCTCTCTCTGAGCGTTCCTTACATTGTGCTCTCTTTCTAGAATCATTGCAATACAGGGTACCATTTGTAACCTTTAAGGAACGAAAACCACCGGACACTGCTGAGAATCCCTGAAAAAGGGGGAACCTGCTGTCTGGGTAGACAATGGCTCTGTGTAAAGGGAGAAGATGTAGTGAGGGACGCCCTGTAGGATTCAGTGAGGCTGTGTGATAGGCGATGGGGTATCAAGAGACCCTTGTATGCCTGCCTCCTGCCCCGCCAGCCAGTGAGCTGAGATCAGATGGAGGAGGAGGGCACTCTAATACCACACGTTTCCACCACCCTATTAGCTGCTATTACTTGGCATTGTCCCACCTCTGTCTGAGAGTTCCTTACATTGTGCTCTCTTTCTAGAATCATGACCTGGATACTGACCCATCCAGGAATCTTGCTTGCTGTCCTAGATCTACATGGAAAGAGCCTCTACTTGATGACTGGAGCAAGGACTGTTAGACCCCCATGACAGGTGTCAGCATTTGTACCTCTGTGCACATACTGGCAAGCAACATTAGTGAAACAGAAAGCTTACAAGGCATAGACTTCAAGTTTGGATGCTGACACTGAAGATGAGGATCCCTGATGATGTAGCAGGTATGTACCAAAGCTCGCCAAATGATGCTGGGGAGGAAGGCCAGAACACTCAGTCACTGTTATTTGTTGAACTGTTAAAGGAATCAAAGTCCTAACCTCTAGTTCCTGTGATTGTGACCAGGTTTGAAGTAGGGTCTTTACAGATGATCATGCTAAAATGAGGCCAGTATGTCCATAGCCTTATAAAAATGGACAAGGCACATAGAAACTCACACAGAGAGAATGCCATGTGGAGAAAGGGTCTATGCTGCCCAGAGGCAAGGAATGACCTGAAGCTAGGAAAGAGCCAAGAACAGGTCTTTCTCTAGCACCTCCGGAGATAATGCGATCCTGTGCACACCGTGATCTTGGAGCCTCCCATTCCCTTTGTGGTGTTCTACAGCCTAGAAAGCTAATGGAGTTACATTCTGCTTTTTTATTGAGTCAGAAACAGTTTGTTCTTTTTAAAGTTGAATGTATGTATTTGTATGCACATACATGTTTGCATGTTCCTGTGGGAGCAGGTGTGGAGGTTAGAGGACAACCTTGGGCACTCTTCCTTGCCTAGTCATTATCCGAGGAAGGGTCCCTTTGCTACAAGATACACCAGGCTAGCTGGGTCATGCCTGTTTATGATTCTGATGGGGGAGGTCCTTCTGTATATGTGTTTCTCTTATTGGCTGATGAATAAAACATTGCTGGCCAATAAGGTAGAAGATAGGGGGGACTAGGAGAAGAGGAGAATTCTGGGAAACAGAGGCAGACAGAGTTGCCATGTACGGACCAGGAAGAAAGGACACACCAGGCATTCTCCGGTAAGATAAGACCACGTGGGAAAACATAGATTAATAAAAATGGGTTAATATTTAAGACAGAGCTAGCCACCAGCCAACAGTTATATAACTAATATAGCATCCATGTCTGAGAAGGGTGACTGGACAGGAGAATCTCCAGCAACATGTTTCCCTGTTGTTTGTTCTGTGTCAGCATAGGGACACTGGGGCTATGGATACACACTCGTGCCTCTGGCTTCTGTGGGCTCTAGGGATCCGAACTCAGGCCCTCACATTCGTGTGGACATTGACCTGTCTTCTCAGTCTAAGAGGCAGGGAACTCTTTACCAGACACCCTCCATCAGCATTCTACTGTGTCAGCAGGTGCTTTCCTGAGTCACGACAATAAATGGTCCAGGAAAACAGAGAATTATGGCTCTGAGTGCTGTGGAAGCAAAAGAGATAAAAGCAGGCAGAGCTGTTTTTCTGCAGTGCATGAGGACTCTGAGTCAGATGTGTTGAAATTACAGGTAGGTAGGACTGAGTCAGCATGGTGCCCCTGTTTGGCATTCCTGCCATGTAGTGAGCTGGAAAAGAGAACATGCATTAAGCCAGCAAGGGATTAACCCCCTTTGAAATCACTGTAGGGATGTTATTGTGGTCTATCTAATGTTGCTTGAAATGAATTGAATTGAGTGGGGTTTATCACCCTGATAGTATTTTGTCTCAATGTAAACAAACAAACAAAAAATGAAAGTGCTAAGGTAGAAGAGGTTGTTTGGTTACTGCTAACAGTATAGAGCAGGGGTGGGGGGACTCGAAACCAGCTTTATCTGAGGGGTACAGGAGATGGTTCATGGCAGATTGGCATCATCTCTGAGTACTGATTCTTAGATAACAAACACACCAGCAAGGGGCAGCAACCCTCCCAGCTCTGATCTAGTGGAGGTGTGTGTGTGTGTGTGTGTGTGTGTGTGTGTGTGTGTGTGTGTGTGTGTGTGTGTGTGTGTGTGTGTGGGTGTGACATGCCCATAGCCCCATGTGCCTCTTGGTATTCTTCAAGGGAGACAGGGGGAAGTGATCCCTGAGCCCTCCACTGAGATGTCAGTGGAGATCTCACTGTGGATTAGCAGAAAGGATTTCCTTTGGATTGTCACACTGTAAAAGCCCATATCGAGGAACCCCAAGGACCACCGTGGTCCTGTGTGCTGCTCTGTTTACTGTGAGTGCAGAGATGGAGCATGTGTGTGTATGTGTTTGTGTGAGACCATAGAAGGGATCTGCTATAACAGTTGGCATGTGAAGGTTGTGAAAGCTAAGGCTGATGTGGGGTGGCAGCGCTGATGCAGGCCAGAACAGGAACAGTCCCTTTCCTCATCTTTTGGCAAGAAAGCTATTCTTATTGGAAACAAGATGCCATTCTGTAACCCAGGCTGGTCTGGAACTCACTATGTAACCCAGGTGGCCTTGAACTTGTGACCCTTCTGCTCCAGCCACTGAAGTGCTGGTGTTTCTAGCATACTCTACCACGCTTGGATATCGTTTGCTTTTTCCCTTTCCCCTCTCCTTCGTCTCTCCTTCCTTCTCTCTCTAATTCCCTTTTCCTCCCAATCTCCTGTCCACCCTCCCTTTCCTTCTTCTTTCTGTTCATGTCCTTCCTCTACTCCTTCTCCTCTTCTTTCTCACCCTTCTCAGTTGAAACCCAATGAGCAAAGC